TCGGCAACTGTGACAATCTTCAAGTTTCGCTTTCTTTTTTTCTCAATCTTTTAATGGAACAAATTTGCTCCCGAGTATTTACAAAAGCACTTTTGTCTGTAACAATATAAATTGATTTCCTTTTCCATGAATATCAACGCATCAAAATATATAAATCGCGATGCTCCACCACAGTAAGATTAATCCTTCGACCACAATTGCATTCCATCGGTTCCTCCGACATTCCAATAAGGAAGTCAAAAAAAAGGTCCGTAGACGACGGAAAAAAACAATTTGCGGGAGGAGCAAAAAAAGCCCTTCTCTCTCCTGCGCGCAAGCTTGACGATCCATTTTTTAGCTCTCGAGAAATCAGCCCAGCAAAGCGACTGGTTCTCTCCCTCTTCTCGTGACCGCAGATTGAAATTCTTAGTCTCCTTTAACCGTGCGAGGGGTTGCTTGCTGCTATATACTCGATTGGGGCTAGGCTATGCACTAAACCCTCGAGATTTCATTATTTCACTCGTAAACTTCAAGCGTTGGATCCTACACTGTGGTCATTCGTCACGTTATTTGGGATTTCCGTCGCTCGCAGTACCACGCTTACCCCTGCATTTGGAAATTCTAAATCTAAGCCTAGTTCTATTTGGAATTTGGAAATTCTAATTCTACATCTAAATCTAAAAAAAATCTTCCGAGCTTTTGTAATAGCAGTGTGTGGCAACTTCACTTCTGATTTGCAATATTGCTTGTCGCAGGGGCGTCGACGAGTTTTAATTTTAGGGATACCGGTGCGAGCGTAAATACCGCACAAGTGACATTTTCGTACTCCCGCTCCCTCATCCTCGGCTGACAATCCATTTTCGTTTCGCTGCAAAACGCAAACGTTAATCAACGGTTCGTTGAGCGAACGAAAATACGAACACGACGATGGAGGCTCGACAGTTATCGTATGAGAATCGAGTTTACCAGTCCGTACATAAACGCCCAATTTAAATCGAGATCTCAAATAGGAGTGCGTACCCGTACAGTAAGTTCCCTCGAAGCTTTACGCCGCAAATCCACTTACACGTGCCCGCGAGCATCAAAACATTGCGCAGGGCATAAGGTCGTGAACGCACGTGGCGTAGGAGGAGTGGACGACGACGACCTATAAGGGATCTTTTAATTTGCGGCGAAGGGTCGTTCCAACAAGCCCCTTCTATGTATATATATAGGGATTTGTAGTCTCACTCTCTTTGCAACAGTCTCTGTGGTTGTCACTAAGGAGTTACAAACGTGCTACTGCCTTTAGACTATATGGGGATGATTTGTGGTGACTGACGTGCTACCTTATTGCGCGAATTTCAAGAGGCTTTTCCTATAATTAGAGTGATTGATATTTGTTTTTTGTTTTTTAGTGGTTATTTCACAAATTTTTATTGAATTTTCGAATAAATATTTCTCAACTTAACAGCCAAGATTATCGAAAATTTATAAATAACAAATTTTTATTGTTTTTATCATTTTCTCAAATAATCATGTGCTTTGTGAAAGAAAAACTTCAAGTTTTGCGAAACACCAAGCTGATATTTACTTTTGTCATAATTAAAACATAACTGCCTTAAAATAACAAATCACGAATGTCGAAAAGAAAACTTCGCAGCAGCCATTAACTACGTCTGGCAAAACTTCTTCTAAGATTCACAAATTACCGAGGTGTCAAATCTCGAAAAAGACGAAGAAAAAGAAACAATATGCAGCAACGACACCTCGAGGTAAAAGATGCAGAAATAACCGCAAATTTCTTTCCAAGAATATGTCTGCAGCATGGACACAAGCACGAAGGTGCTGCTCGCCGTTGATTTTTGGCTGCAAAACAACATTCGCGTGCCTTCGCCGTGCTTCCATCGGATGAACCAACGTTATAATGTACACGCGTATACTTTTTCTATACAAGCTCGTGAATTGTGCTGCAATTATTTCACGTTGCCTCAATGCGTTCGGCTATTGGTGTTGACGTTACGAATATAAGTAGTAATTTTTATATTATTATAAAAAGATTCTAATGGTAGAACGAAAATAAGTAAAAGGTAAGAGATAAAAAACATTTTTATTTTTTACCTTTTACTGATTTTTATATTATTATTATGAACCAAAAGTAAAAATTATAAAATCCAATCATCGAGTCGAAAGAGAAAAAAATAATCTTCTTTTCTGGTGCAAAGCCTACTAGATAAAAAAAAAGTGAAATTGGTGACAAGGAAGCCCATAACATACAGATTGAATCATGGTACGCGCGGCCATATGAACGTCTGGCGTAGAGATAACCAATACAAGCTTTAATCCTAAATGGAAATGCAAAGATTAATTAAGAATCCCATTAATGGTTCGAGGTCGCGTGCGCGAAACTCTCACGGGAGCGGCGAATTTGATCTCGTTTTCTTTTTCATTGGGATGTTCACAGGCTATGGCGTGACACGGGAAGTGTGCAGACAATCGCGCCATGAGAGAGGGGACAGCGTGATTTTGAAGGATCGATCAAGGGGCGTGAATACTGTACTGTGTCTTTATTCAATTTGCATATATAGGTCGAATGTGCGACAATTGAATGTCTGGCTATTTGAAAATTGCCAAACGGCCTCGAGAGGCAGGTTTATGTTTAAGTAAATTTTCGCAGCTTAATTACGATAAACGTCACCACTGATGTCGTTAACGAGATTTCTCGGAGTTAGACAAGAAAAACGCTTTGCTCTCGCAGAAATGGAAAAACACGTCCGAACGTTTCAAAAGACATCGTACGTAGCGAGCGAAGAGTCTAATGACAAGCAGCACATCTTAAAGTTGTCGTCGCTCTGTATATTTTCATTCGCGTTTTTTTTTTTTTTTTTTTTTTTTTTTTTTTTTCTGCGAGCGGTAAATTGAGCACTGCGAGACGACTCATTTGCGCGACCCACGTAAGTGTGCACGCACAAAGCAGATGCGATGCCACCTCGCAAAGCCGATGGATCGCGTAATGAGATGCACTCGCATTTTGCTTTTGACTGCTTTAGTGCTTAGTGCTGAGATTTTCGCTTTAACGTAGCTTTTTCGTCGAGTCGCTAAACGTCTGTCTTACTTCCAAGGAGTTCTAGTTTTTAAGCTTTTTAAGAATAACCCACTTTTTGTTTTACTGAAAACTTTCTTGAAAAACGATGTCGAATCTTCGTCTTACAAATCATACCGCGACTGTTCTTTTCATATAAACAAATTTCGTAAACGATCCTGTACACCGCAAAGTCTCATTGTCGATGATTGCACGGCCAAAACAATTAATTAAACACCCCTCGCGTACAGGGTACACATATCGCCACTGTTCGACGAAAAAGAGTGGGGGGAGGATGTGAAACACCGTCGTCCTCGTCGTCGCTGCGTCACAATGTATACTCTCCTGGGATGAAGCTTATCTGAAATTACAATGTTACCCCGCACGCGGGGTGCCGCTTTTAATCGTCGCTCCTTTTTTTCACAGTGGCTGTTGCGATTGATTGATAGAAACGAGAGCTACGCGAGAACGCTTCTTTTTTTCATTTCTAGTTGGGCGGGTGACGAAATTTTGTTTTGTTATTTTTTCCCTTCAAAAAATATTACTATATAATTAAATAAATAAAAATAAAAAAAACATCGTTCAGAACATCCTTTAGAAATAAGTATTTCCCAAATGATCGACAAAATCCACGACATGGTGTTGAGTGATCGGAAAATGAAATTGCGTGAAATAGTTGAAATAACGGGGATATGAAAAGGTAATCTCATTCTGATTTTGTATGATAAATTGAACGTGAAAAAAATGTCGTCACGATGGGTGCCATGTTTGCTCGCAGTGAAGAATAAACGCAGTCATGTACTCGTAGTCGCCGCCAAGGCCCACTTGACGTGTATCTACCATCATCCAGACGACTTTCTGCGACGATTCATATCTGTAAACGGGACATGGATATTCAATGAATTATCTTCATTGAATATTTAGAAAAAAAACTAACAATCACCGGAGAGTATTATGCGTTGCTATTAAACCGGTTAAATGAGAAAATAAAGGGAAATCGTCCTTATTGGAACAAGAAAAAAAATTTCATCGAAATAATTCACGATTGTGCACTTGCATAGTTTCAATGGCCAAAATTCAGAAATTGAAGTTCGAATTAGTGGACCATCCTTGTATTCACCAAAGCTGGCCCCCTAGTAACCTTTCTTTATTTCAAAACATAAAAAAGTGGCTTCCCGGGCAGCGATTCAAGTCGAATAAGGAGATTATGACACAAACAAATAGCTATTTTGAGGAACTCCTAAAATAATATTTTTCTGATGGCTTAGAAACATTCAAATGATGTCTGAAAAAGTGTATCGAGCTGAAAGGAGATTATCTTAAAAAATAAAAACAAATCTACCTAAAAAAATATGCTATCTTTTTCTAAGGACTTATTGACCTATCCTCGTATCTAAATCTTATAACAGGTAAAAATTTGTTTCATTTAATTTGTTACCTTGATAATATCACAAAATAAAAACATTTTAGCGTAACTGTTAAACATAGCATTCAAAAAAGTTGAAAAAAACCCGCGCGAAGAAGTATAGGTTGCGGTTTCCCGAAGAAATATAAAAATTAAGAACTTGTAAAAATGTAGCTGTGTATGTGAAAAATGCATAAGCAACATTACACTATTATCTTTGAAGTAGATATTAGTGTTAATCATTGTGTCTGCGCGCATACCGTTGATTTTCCACGGTACTTGCATCTATCGTTGAATGGCCGTCTCTATTTACATGCACTAATTTGCTTATCTTATCATATCTTTTAATCATCGCATACAGATTCTATTATTCCCGACTTTATCACAGTATGGCGAGAAAGAGAAAGGGTATTTCAGTTGAAAACTATAAACATTAAGGTTAATTCAAGAATACACTTTGAAACCACAGCTACATCGCATTAGTATTTTGGAATGAGTCAGTAAAAATATTCAGAGTACACGATTCACGCTGATAGTATTAAAGTGACTTTAATCATGAATAGAAGTTTCAAAGAAGTTAAGTTGTGCGAAGATGACTTATCAGACTTGGAAATGTTGAGGAATATAATAGACGAGAGAGGAGGCGAGGATCCACTGCATATATTAAATTTAGGAGATGTATTAGAAAAACACCGAGTTTGGATTCGAAAAATGCCTCGAGTCGTTCCTTATTTCGGTATAATAACTACATTCAATAATTATAGATGTTTCTAATTGCTGACGTTGAACATTATCTAAACAGATCATTTTTACAATTTTCAGCAATAAAGTCTAATCCTAATCCGACTGTCATCAAACTTTTAGCTTCAATCGGTGGACACTTTGACTGTGCATCAAAGGTTAATTTAAATAAATAGTCGTAATATTTTATTACGAAATCATAATTGAAAAAACCTGTAAAACATTCTAGGAAGAAATTATTCAAGCGACCAGTCTTGGAGTACCAAGCGAAAGAATAATTTTTGCTAATCCTATAAAGTTCAAGTCTCACATAGAATACGCAAAAAAAGTTGGCGTCATGCTGATGACCGTTGATCACGAAGATGAATTAAAGAAAATCAAAGAAATATATCCAGAAGCGAAGTAAGCTGAGTATATTCGCTGCAAGGTTTGATAACAAATTTTTCCATATATTTTTCAGTCGGATAATTAATCACTTCCTTTTTATGCACGAACTAAACCAGAGATAATTATATCAGAAAATACACAATGTGATACGAAAATATTTTTACCGATGTATGATCAGATAAAGTGAGAAAATCGTTTATGATAATTCGTATTGCGACCTGATAAGATAGCTGAATATATATTCATAGATGAGTTGCATTTTTTAGTAGATAATGATATAACTATCGGGCAACTTATAATTAATAGTATTTATTTTCCAACTAAACAATGGGTATAACAATGAACGTCGAGAATGTTTCAGAATTCTGATACGAATTCGATGTGATGCCAAAGTGACCGACGCAGTTTTAGGCAAAAAATTTGGCTGTGATCCCGAAGACGAAGCAGTCAACTTGATAAAATTGACGATCGAATTAGACTTGGAATTAAATGGTTTCTGTTTCCACACTGGTAGTCCATGTGGAGAAGTCGCCGCAATTTGCAGAGGAATATATATATGCAACAAACTAATCCATATTGCAAGATCTTTTGGTTGCGATCACGTGAATATAATCGATATTGGCGGCGGTTTCCCTGGAGAACGTGACTGCGACCTCGGTGAGGTAATGTGAAAAAAATGCTTCGATATTAAGTGCATACGAGTATGTATTGAAACTACAGAACAATCATAAGGTATCGAATATAATGAAAAATATAATGATGAAAAAGTTTGCAGAACCGATAAATGCTGCGCTAGACGACATCGATTTTTCAATAAAAATCATCGCTGAACCTGGAAGATATTACGTCACATCAGCAGTCACCGCAGCTGCGTGTGTTCTTGGCAAAAAAACTGTGATACGAGAGGGAAAAAAGACTTTTATGTACTATGTAAGTGACGGCGTGTATGGGTCGTTTATCGAAGAATTGTTAGACATCCGTGCAAGACATCCAGTAACTGTGAACGCTGTAGGTATAGAAATAAGAACATCTATGCACTGCCAATTTTTATCACAAAACTTTTCATTGTGTCTAAGGACTGAAAATGTTACAGACACGCGTAGACAAGGAAAAGTATCCGTCTACAGTATGGGGTCCTACTTGTGACTCCTACGATTGTTTATTGAAAGAAGAGCTTTTATCAGAATATTACATAGGAGACTGGTTAGCTTGGTATAACGTCGGTTCCTACGGAACGTGTCTGGCAAATGAGTTCAATGGATTTCGAGCGCCAAAAGTATACCCAGTTATGAAGAGAAAAGATTGGTATTCGTTGAATAATTAAAAACAATAATTTTGTTTATTACTGATTGCAAATTCTGAAGAGAATGTTAAAGTAGATTACAGATACTTCCTCGGAGATTCCGTTATTTTCATGTAACATTCTACTAACATCTAATATGCTATCATTATGAAATCACTTGAGAAATTGAAGATGTAGAAACTTTTTTACTTGCCTGAATTATTGGGTACAACTCAAATTTCAATTAAAGAATACACGAAACATCATTCAAAAGCCAAAAACTATTGGTTTCTCAAATCAATAAGAAAGCGATTATACACGTAGTACGTAATAAATAATAAACTAAAACAGCTTCTTATGAAATTTTATTTTTAATGCAAACATAGATATAATTTAGATAAGAATAATAAATACTTGTATTTTCCAATTTCATGAATTTTCTATTGTCTTTTTATTTTCAAAAATAAATTTTATAAGAATTTTCGTGCAATCAACAACATTTTTAGATAAAAAATTGAAGCAATCGACAATACTTGTATGATGTAAAACCGTTCAGAAAAATAATGTCGACGACGTGTACAGAAAATAGGCGTGAAATTAAAAAAAAACGAAAATACGAAGTAAAAAAGGAATTGCCTTCCGCAGCATCCTTCAGTCGCGTGTGCGTGACGAAAACTCTTCATCTACAGGCTTGCATGTCTTGTCGCAGTTACACAAGTTGCACCGCAGCGAAATTTGAATGAAAGAAATGCGACCGTTGTCCAATTTTATCATACATATACGCTCGAACGGAAGATCATAATTGCGACAACGACTCTCATGTTTCTGCGCAGCGGATGTGCCAAATCAATTGTTAAAGCTGTTTTTTTTTTCAATTATACGTAAAGAATTGTGGAGAGTTTTGCTTAATCGATTAGACTTCATAGAAAAATATATTTTAAAGCAAAGGCGCAAAAATTGAAGATAAATACGATTCTTCATGCATACAAATTTTTATTCCAAAATATGAAAATCAACTATACACATATATTTCGCGGTTTTTAACTTCCTAGCGTAATCTCGCGAATCGCAGTAAAACTTATTTAACTCTAGCCTCTCATCGCCTTCTTTTCCACATTTGTGAAGCTCGAAAAGAAAAGCTATCTCCCGGTAAAACGAGCCACCCTCTAACTCTCGCTTAAAAGAGACTCCGACAGCCGCAAAACGCAAAAGATAAATTGCATACGCTTGCGCAAGAAAAAAAAGAAACGGAGGGTTACGCAAATGAGGTGGAAAAGATAAAGGCGCGATCATTAACATGCGCCTGGTAGCTCGGGGTAAAAAGGAGGCAGGCACCTATTTCACGCAAGCGCGTTCAAAAGTGCGTCAATCTTGCGGAAACGAGGACAAATTTATCGAGGCATATCTACGCCTTTGCACCGCGAGCTATACTCGTACTCTTCATGGTGACCTAGGATTTTTTATATGACGCCTATGGTATAGGTTGCAAAGACATAAGTGGAAAGAATAAGAACAATGTTTTTTCTTGTAATACCGAGATAGAGTAGTGATATATCACTGCCTTTCTCTTTTTAAAACACACAAAAGTGAAACAAAATATCTTATTCTACTTAACAATGATAATACACCTTTGTTTTATTTTTGATAAATCTGCATTAACTGCCATTTTTAGCGCACTAGCAAGGCACAAAAAAGTAAGAAAAATAAACTCAGAAAAAATTCTCGTAAAAAATATATATATATAAAGAGAAAGAGAGAGAGACAGCGGACGAGAGCATTGCGCTCTCTCGTAGTAAGATAAAATGAATGAGAGGAAGAGATAGGGAGAAAGATGGCAACCTAATGGCGGCAGCAATTAACAACAAACACCGCTCATTAATCGCGAGTCTCCTCGCTTTCTCCCAACCCACGTCCCTCCTCTCTACGTTCGGCTTTGTATTTTTCCTCTTTCGTTTTCTTCCCTTCAATTTCCCTGGGAGACTCATCCCCCGTGCGTATTTTATTTTAATTATCACTCCTTCATCGAGACATAGATATATACAATTTTTCCTCTTTATCTTTCGTATTGAGCAGAGAGAGAGAGAGAGAGAGAGAGAGAGAAGGGGTATGTAATTGACGAGCGTATATAACGAGGACTCGTAAGTAATTTTTGCGTACGAGCGTATTTAAATGAGACTGTTGCCCTTTGGATTGGACCGCCACTCGACGCAAACCTCTCGTTCGCTTCGTGTAAATGTTCAGTAGTTATTGGATTCTGATGCTGCTTCAAGTACTAGACTAAGAGTGCGCATACTTTTCGTTTTGTTTAATGACTGATGCGACTTCAATGAGACGTTAGTAAATGCATTATATAAGAAACAAATGAAAGTTGCTTTGATAACAGTTAACGTGCAAAAAATTGTATAAGAAAAACAATAACAAATAAATTAATTTTTCAATGGTTTTCGACTGGAAAAATTGGAATTCACCGACCACGCTCGTGAAAGAACGAGCAAGAAAGTGCAATCTCAAGAGGTCATTACGCACGTCAGAGGCACGGTACGTCGTCGTCTTCAAACGGAATTGGGTAACGAAAACTAATTGTCCCGCGTGGCTCGGCCTCTCTTACGCGGACTCTCCAATTGGCACGAGGAGCGCGCGGAGCAAACTTGGGGCGTAAATTACTGGCGTGCGCCAGCGCCGCGCAAATTATTAAAAGCTAAACTGGCTTTGATTTATAAGAGGGCCAGCCTTTCTCTCTCTCTCCCTCCCTCTTCGAGGCACTGACGCAAGGACGGAGAATGACGTCGAGTGAGTGCGCCGAATGAGCCGTTTCGAATTGCGTCCGATGGTTTTTTTTGGAATGGGCTCTTCGCATTGTTTCGGTATTTCGATATGGGGCTCCAAACAAAGTACAGGTGAGTTTGTTTGGAATTGCATTTGCAAATGAAATTCATGAACTTCGGAGAGAAAAAAAGAATCGATCATCGTCGAAATAAGCTAGAAGTAAGGATAATTTAAGCATGGCGATCCATTGAAATTCAGGTCACTAAGCAACGAAAAATCGCTCACGTGCAAGTTTCTGAACAATAAAGGAAGCTACGAAACCTTCTTGCTCGGAAAGTATAAAGAAAAATTATCTCTGACTGATTAACCTGGGCGCGCTGGTGTATTTTTTTTCTCGTTTTTTTCCTTCGGTTCGCGCTTCGCGATAGAAAAATGCAAAAAGAAAATATAGAAGTAGGAGGGAGGTAAAGCCTTACGATCCATCTTTCATTCTTTTTTTTTCTTTTTCCTGGAGGGTTGCGCGCAACTTCCTTGCCAAGTAATGCAATAATTAAACGAGCGGAAGTAATAAAATTAATCTCCGGCGCTGGGGCTTTCTTCCTCTCATTCTCGCGAATATAAATCTCGGCTGGGGCCTCCTTCCTTTTACCTTACCTCCAACGCTTTCTATATTAGCCTTTTCGTACCTTTATTATTATTTTCTAGATTCTTGGCCCTTTTCGCCGCACTTACTCTACTTGCCACGAGAGTTCTTTTCTTTGGAAATACTTCCGAGAAATAAGTCAATCTTTCTCATAGCAAACATATTTTTCGATAAACAACCGAACTTCAAAGACAATAAATCAAGCAAAGAATATGTTCTTTTTTTGCAAGAGATGTTGCGGGACTTTGAAAAAAGTGTCACGTGGTTGGAGAACAAATTTGCCAAGCATACCGGCCAAGGATCAATAAATAATCGCATTGGACACTGCATTACCGTCTTCGAATTTACGATTTTTCTGCGCTGTCGACTGGCCCCTTCTTCGAAACTCCTTATTTAGCTGTCTGACTTCAACAGCGTACATTTTTTTTTAAATTATCGATGAAAAAGTTAACCAAAAAATTTGTCACTCGGATTTATAACAATTTTTCAACGAATTTCATCGTCAATCAAATTTTCGCCGAAAAATAAACGAACGCGTCAACTATAAGAATTCGCATTCAATCAAAAGCGCAAATGAGAAAAGCGGCGGCAAAGCACCGCTTTAACGATAATAATTTGCAGTAACGCGATGCGTTTTAAAAGCATCGCGCCACCGATGCGCGCTTCGCATACAAATAGATTTACGAGTCTCCTGATTTACACTGATTACAGGGCCTTTCTCTCTCTCTCTCTCTCTCTCTCTCTCTCTCTCTCTCTCTCTCTCTCTCTCTTTCTCTCTCGGCAAACATGTAAGACCCTCGCGTATAGCGTGTTTTAACATCAATTGCCATTGATTGATTTTACTCTTTCTCTCTCTCTCTCTCTCTTGAGGATATTAAATTAATACTCGTACCCGCGTTTCTCGCTCAAAGGCAAACTTACCGACCACGGAAAGCGTCAATTATTTCCGACGTAGCTTCGGCGACGACGACTAAGTCGTTCCTTCGCTGTGCCGCACTGCTTATGGATTAATGTTTGAGTGGCGCCAGGTAACTGCGCTGAGAGCGGCTAAATATTCGATTGAAGCTCCATTGAATTGGACGCGTGGCAAAGATCAATATGAATTTAAATTTCTGGAGCGGGACTTCGGTTGTTTGAATGTACAATGACTTTTGACGAGCGTACATAACGCGCGATCAAACATTAACCGTAGGTTTTTTTTATTTTTTAGTGAAAATATTTAAAAAGTATTCGGAACCAATAGAAAATATTACAATTAAATTATTTTCTTTATCTTTTATTTCGTCTGTTTGCCTTCCGGGAAAATTATTACTTTATTATTGATTTATTAATAATCGATAAAAACTAATCAGTTCACTTTCACATCATTACGTATACTTTCCACGTTTGAGTAATAACGTCGTTAAGAACGGAATGTCAACGATAAATTGAGTAATAAAGAAATAAGGGAAAAAGAAAGGTATATAATTTGCGAAGCGCCAATAAATTAACGATAAATTACACCTTCGTGTCTATACGTATGTAGTGAATCGAGCCGAGGCGATGCACTTATTGATTGCACTAGAGCCCACCTACGCGGCTGGCTGCACGTAATGTGTAATTATCGAAACGTTAATAATTTCATCAGTTTATGATTAACAGGTGGTGCCCCCCCCTCTCTCTCTCTCTCTCTCTCTCTTTCTCTCACAGTGAAAAAGAGTGTGTGGGTGGGTGAACAAGAAGGAGTCCAGTCGTAACGCGACCACACAGATTGGTGCCACATTGCGTTCTTACAGGACATATCG